TTACCTTCTGGATTCAGATTTCTCATATTCTTAGTCTTCAACGCATTAAATGGTCTCACTTGAATCTGATGTTCTAAGATTGAGTCAGGGTAACGATCAAAGAAGATCTCATTGACAGCCATATCGAAAGTTGGGATAACTTCCTATAAAAAATGAACATAAAGATGTAAAACTACGTATCCTCATCCTCGAATTAAGTATAACAAATAACGCATTTTCTATTAGCAAAGTATAAATATAACACTGTATATTACCATAGTGTGACCCTACAGAATCACACATATGCTGTTTTCAAACTTAGGTGCTACTACATATATATATATATATATATTTTTTTTTTGCAGGGGCTGGGTTTGAACCCACCACCTCTGGCATATGGAGCCGGCACCCTACTCCTTTGAGCCACGGCACCACCCACCACTACATATTTTAATTTGGGTTAAATGTACTAAGACACGTGGAAGTGCCTTCCTGCTGTATAGTTCTGGCATATTTTATGCTTTCAGGGAAAGGATTCTAAGCTCATACTTTCATTTTTATTTTTCCTGCATACTGAAATTATGCCAAAATAAATTAAAACATACTCTTTTTATTCAAATTTATTAACACATGGTTCCGACATTTTACAAATGAGGAAACAGCTATGGGAAGGTTAAGGAAATTAATCAAGCTTATACAGCTAGTAAGCAGCAAGGGCCAAGCGTTCAGGGCTGGGCACAGTGGCTCATACCTGTAATCCCAGCACTCTAGGAGGCTGAGGTGGGTGGATCACCTGGGCTCATGAGTTCAAGACCAGCCTGAGCTAGAGTGGATCCTGCCTCTAAAAATAGCTGGGTGTTGTGGTGGGTGCCTGTAATCCCAGCTACTTGGAAGGCTGAGCCAAGAGAACTGCTTGAGCCCAGAAGTCTGAGGTTGGTGTGAGCTATGACACCACAGCACTCTACTGCGGGCAACAAAATGAGACTCTGTCTCCCAGAAAAAAAAAAAAAAAACAACAAAGTATGCTTGCCGCCAAAGCCTATACCCAGAGTCAATATGACTGGTATTTAATTAACAAAAATTGATCTTGGGTGTAGAAGAAAAAGACTACAATATAGCTGATATGTTCTGCTAAAGATGGCAGGAAGTATATAATGCATTTAATATAGTTCCATGTAAGATACTTTGGCCAGGTGTGGTGGCTCACATCTGTAACCCTAGTACTCTGAGAGGCTGATGATGCAGGTGGATTGCCTGAGGTCAGGAGTTCGAGACTAGCCTGAGACAGGGTGAGACCTCGTCTCTAAAAGTATAGCTGCGTATTGTGGCAGTCACCTATAATTCCAGCTACTTGGGAGGCAAAGGCAAGAGAATCACTTGAATCCAAGAGTTTGAGGTTGCTGTGAGCTATGACGCCATAGCACTCTACTAAAGGTGATAAAGTAAGACCCTATCTCAAATAAAACAAACAAAAAAAGACTTTATTTCATGAAATCCAAGAAATTATCACTCATAAGATTCACTACTGTTTTATAAGAGAAACACTGCCAATTATACTGACATGGCTTTGATAGTAACAAGCATCCTGCTTGCAGAAACAATGTATGAAAAAAAAATTCATCTTAAGAAGATGAACCACGGTTTTCTTAAAAAAGTGTGTGTGCATATTCTCTGTTTCCAGGGAAATTATGCTATCCAGAAACATTCCTACTACTACAGGCAATTCCCAGGTTCTATAGGTTTGCTCCCAAGTTGGATTTGTATGTAGGGTACATTTATCTATTACCTGTAATAGTCTCCATTTGTAAAGTATGAGTTATACATCATTTAGATGTTTGTAAGTAACTTGGGAGACTTACTGTAATAGTCTGTCAATGGTGAACTAACATCAAAATCAAGAGGGACAGCTATAAGTGTGTGAGTTGTATGTAAGTTCAGGGACTATCTGTAATATATATGTACTAACATTCATCAGAGTCAAAGACTAATTATTACCTGTGGGTAGGAGATGAGCTGTCTGTACAAATTTTTGTCAAATGATTTTATGTGTTCACAGTTTACATTTAGAAATGGCTCTCCGATAACATTAATCTGTAGGATAAAATAAACAAGTTAAATTTTGCTAATTTTATTATTTTAAAAATATAACTTGGGGGAGGGGAAAAAGAAGATAACCACATAATTTGAATTTATAGGTAAGACATTTGATTACCTCCTCGAGTTGTTGCATGTACAGAGGTTCAGTAATATTAATGCCAACATTTTCTTCTTCTTTAGCCAGAGGGTCAATAAAACGCTGAAGAAATCTCTTGAAGTAGAGACAGAAAATATTAAGCTTAATGTATGTGGGAACGGGTACCCATTCAAAATGCAAAAAATGGCTCCGCGCCTGTGGCTCAAGTGGCTAAGGCGCCAGTCATGTACACCCAAGGTGGCGGGTTCTAATCCAGCCCGGGCTGCCAAACAACAATGACAGCTGCAACCAAAAAAAAAAACAGCTGGGTGTTGTAGCAGGCACCTGTGGTCCCAGCTACTTGGGAGGCTGAGGCAGGAGACTCGCTTGCGCCCAGGAGTTGGAGGTTGCTGTGAGCTGAGATGCCACAGCACTCTACCCAGGGGACAGCTTGAGTCTCTGTCTCAAAAAAAAAAAACAAAATGCAAAAAATTATGAGCATGTCACTATCTGGAGATAGCTATAAATACTATTTCCCAGCTCGGTGCCTGTGGCTCAAGTGGCTAAGGCGCCAGCCACATACATCTAAGGTGGCCGGTTCGAATTCAGCCCGGGCCTGCCAAAACAACAATGACAGCTGCAACCAAAAAACAGCTGGGTGTTGTAGCAGGCACCTGTGGTCCCAGCTACTTGGGAGGCTGAGGCAGGAGACTCACTTGAGCCCAGAAAGTTGGAGGTTGCTGTGAGCTTTGATGCCACAGCACTCTACCCAGGGGGATAGCTTGAGGCTCTATCTCAAAAAATAAAAAAATAAAAAATAAATATTTCCCAACATTTTCGGAGCTCTACAGTATGAATTTTACCACATCTGCCTCACCTGAAAATTCTCCTTGCATGTTGCCACATTTACATCTGTTCCCCAAATCACAAGTTTTTGGCCCAGAGACTGTTCACTTGCCACTATGTCTTCTGCTGCTGCCTATACAGGAAAACATGACAGAATCAGGACACCAGGATCTACTCATTTTACATTTGGGAAAGGAAGCTATCAGGAGATAACATGAACCATGTACTCACCCCATCAGACTGCAGATCCACCTGCAGACCCTTCCGTGCAGAGCCCAGATCAGGCCTCTGTCTCATGGGTGTGCCCCTAACACCACTCCTTGGGGTTCCCTCTACCCGAGAGCTGGGAGTGCCATATGTTAGTGGTGAACTAACATCAAAATCAAGAGGGATAGCTATAAAAACAAAACCCCAAAGTTTACAATGAAATTCTGGTAGCATATCAACCCCCAAACTACAGCATGTTCTGTTAATCTGTCATCTAACGGGTTGCTTGCTGCAACCTGTGGTGGTTGATATTCTGAGGACTATTAAAAGTTTTCTAAACATAAAGCACAAGAAAAGCTGCTGCTCCCGACGTCCTAACCTCTCTCTGTTCTCTGTGCTCCCTCCTCCACCTCTTTCTGGTGAAGAACATACTGGCTCAGGTACAGAGAAATGTTTTAGGCGTTAGGCCAATTACTGTCATCAAACCAGCAAAATGACCAGCTGAAGCATCATCTGTACAACAGCCACAGTCCAACCCAGACCTTCAGATACGCACCTGAAGAGTGCAACTGAGGAGGGCTGGAAAACAGAGCGTCCTGCGCCGCGGGACTTTGCAGGTCTGCTCCGGGAGAGGTCGGCATAGGCAGTAGCTCTCCGGTAGAGGTGGAATCCTCGCCTCTACGTCTCTGGGATGGAGGTGACTTGGCATCCTCACTTCGAGCTTGTGTTACACGAAACAGGAAAGATGACTATCAACTCTGTTTGGCCTTCCTAGATTTGTATGCCTCTTGGGACAGTTCATTACTGAACAAATACAAGCCAAACCGTAACGGAGACAAACAGGCAAGGCCATATTTAACCCATAGAAATTAAGAGGCACGATGGCCAAGGTGAAGAGGAGCGGCCGGGGATGTCCGCACCCACCCCGCGCTCACAGCCCAGGCGAGCAGAGGCGAAGCTGGGGGGCTCTGAGGAGAAGAGCTCCGGTGAGGGGCAAAGAACTCACCCGTCTGAGCAGGGGTCGTTCGTCCACGCCGGCTGCTGCGGCGGCTCGGGGTTGATGCGGGAGAAGACATGGGACTCGGGGTACCTGCGCGACAAGAACAAGCTCACGCTGCTCTCTCTGCCCGGCCTCCGCGTTGCACCCTCGCTGCCGACCCGCGCTCAATGAGGGAAAGCGACAATCCTCTGCAGTTCGCCAACTCCTTGTCCACCTGGAAGCTCGCGCTTCCGCAGGGAGCTAGATGGAAGGAGGGTTCCCGCCAGCCGGACAGTCGTCACCGCCCCTTGCGGTGCGTCACCAATCACAGTGGCGTTCTCGTGTGGCTCCGCCTCCGGAAGACTCCACTGCACACCCGTAGGGGGGTCTGACTGACCTTCTTCGGCGCCCCTGACGCAGGCCTTCCCTGACCCACCCTCAGGTCACATGGTCTGATCCCCTACACGTCCGCATTTTCGCGGGAAATCTGAGGAGTATAACCAGACCATATTCTTGGAGCTATATTACACGCCTTGGCGTTCACTAAGAATATACTTATCTGTTCCTTTGGCATATGTTTTATTTCTAAAGACATTTCAAATGCATCTTTCACTCTATCGATAAACAAGCTTATAGATCTTTACTCAGGCCCTAGAGTTTTTTTCTGCCTCTGGCATTCAATTAAGTCCAACACCAAGTATCCTCCCTATTTCTGCAGGTCAAACCGTTAGACTACTGTTTCTCTTTAGCTTTGATGTGTGTGCGCAGAGGACATGTGTTGCTCATTCTCAAGTCTGACGGTATGTTAACGCAGGTCCGAGGGGGTCATTTCCACACGGAAGTCCCCCCAGCGAGGGCTTCGAAGAGAGTTCC